ACCTCAACTCTGCCTCTAAGAATCCCTAGCTTTTTTCAATGCTAGCTCACATGCCATCTCCCACAAAAACCCAGATGATAACCTTAATTGTGAATGCTTTCTCTTTCCTTCTGGAATTATCAGGTACATACTTGTCTATTTACATGTTTTATTCCTTCAGTAGAATGGAAGGTTCCTGAGAGCAGGAACTGTTTTTCTGAATCCAGAGTGCCTCGATGCAGCTGATACTTAACAGATGTTTGTTGGATCAGTAGTAGTAAAAAAAAAAAAAAAAAAAAAATGGATACCTGGTAAAATTTGAATTTTTAGTGGGAATACTTCTAAAAGCTTTTCCATCTCACAAATGCTGGAATTTGGTCTCAAGTAAATTGTTTTTATCATGATAAGGAAAAATTTATTTGTTCCTATTCTATTGTTCTATCAGTCATGTTAGCATGAATGAGTACTAGATTTTTATCAAAAACCCCTAGGGAAACAAGACCATAGTCCAACAGAAAAAGCACTGGCTCTGCCATAAGGAGGCCTCAAATCCTACCTCTATTCTTTATTACCTGACATCAATTAACCTTTCTGGGCCTCAGCTTTCTCATGTGTAAAATTGGGGGGAGTGGGGGGAAAACGTGGACTACTTGGCATTTGCGGTCTCTCCTAGCTCAAGGTCAACGCATATCTGGTATAAATCCTGTTTGGTCATGTTGAATTTTAAAATGTAATGTTAATGGCACTGTTAGTACTTTGGTATTTTTATGCCTATAGTCATTACAGAAATTGGCCTGTAATTTGTTTTTAATGCTGTCTAAGGCTCATCACATAAGATTAGACATAGGCCAAAAATTTTTGGCCACAGCAATTTTCTAGGATCGTCTACCAGGTCACAAAGAGGCTGTATGAACTGCAGCAGTAGAAGGAATGCCCACACTGACAAAATCAGGGATATCTGAAGTTCTGAATTGTTGTCTTTTGGGGGGGGGGGGGGTCCTGATCCTGTGATTTTAGCTACGTGAAAACTATCTCCACCAGGGCAGATCTGTAACTCATCTCTAACTTGGTCTTAAGAGAGGTGCCTCTGGCAACTAAAAGAGAAGTTAAGTGCTTACAGTCACACAACTTGTACGTGTGTGTCTGTATGTGTCTGTGTGTGTATGTGTGTATGCATGCCACAGAAAGGATCTGAATCCAGGTCTTCCTGACTCCAAAGACAGTACACCATGTTACCTTTCTAAGGATTCATTTTATAACCCTGACAAGGATCATACTCTATTTTACCAACAGTAAAGATTTTGTGTCATCTATCTTTCTATTTATGAATAATCTGAATACTAACAGTTATTTATTCTTTTGACATATAAAAACTCACCTATGGAACTATATAGGGGAATGGTAGAATCTACAAAGAAATCATACCACTTCTCACAGTAAGAACTTCTATACTATTAGATGTCATCAGAAAACATTACCTTATCCTTGAACAAAGCCATGGTACATCTATTCCATGAAGTTCTGGTCAATGCACTTCAATGTAGAAATAAACAGAGCTAGAGCAGGCCCAGAAAAAAACAACCAAAATGATAATCAAGGGAATGCGGAAAGTGACATATGGGGGAAGATTAAAAAAATTAGGAAAAAAAATTTCAGTGTGGAAAGACAAAAATTGAGGGGCATTATGGTCAAAGTTTATGATATCATGATAACATGAAGGGTAGGCAATGTGAAATATGAGGACTGGTATACTCCTAGGGGCCACCCTTTAAAATTTATTTAAAAAAAATTTTTCTTGCACAAATAAAAGGTCTTCCTTTACTCAGAAGGAATGACTTAAGGCTTAATATCCCAAATAGTGGCACAAGCTGAAAACCTAAGTGAGGTCAAAAAGGGTTTAAATAAATTCAAAGATAACTAATTGGTAATAGATTGTTTAAAACACATTCCAAACCTTCTACCTTCATTGTCTCACTGGCTTCTCAAATTCATTATGTCTAAAACTAAACTCCACTCCCCGCCAAAACTGTCTTTTCCAAATCTTCAAATTTTTTGATGGCACCACCACTCTCCCCCAATCACCAAGGCTCAAGACCACAGTCATCTTTGACCCTTGTCTCTCACCCACTCACATATAACGCGCCAACTGCGAGGCGTGACTGCTTCTACTTCCATACCATCTCCTTTACATATCAGTCATCTTCACTCTCACTGGCAACTACTTTAGTTCCGACCCTTGTTATCTCTTTCCTAATAGCCTCCTAACTAGTCTTTCTGCCACTATCCTGCTCCTTTCTAATCCATTCTTCACACAGATGCTAAAATAATTTTGACAGGGTACATATCTGGTTACATCATTTGTCCATTCGAAAGCTTTCATTGTCTCCCTAGTGGCAAAAGGGTAAAATACCAGCTCCCCAGAATGACATTTAAGGCTCTCCACAATCTAATTCTAGTTTCCCTTTCAAAACTTTTTTCATGTAACTCCCTTTCCTGAAAACCAACTTTCCAACCAAACCAGACTGCTAAGTGTCACCCAATATTGCCCTCCATCTCCCATTTCTGTGTGCTGATATAGATCATTCCCTATACACTCCCATCTCAACTCCATCCGTCAAAAATGTTCTCTTCTTTCCAGGCTGTTTAGATGTCAACTTTTTCATAAAATCTTCATTGACTCCCACCCCCATCTCTCAATATCCTCAAGTGAATGAGTTCTCTAACTCATCAAATTTTCACACAGCACTTAGGTCTCTCCTTTGCTTCCACCATAATATTAGGTATCCACACTGTATTCTTTTCACTGCCACCCATATGCTGCCCCCTTCAGATTGTAAGTTACTTTAGGGTAAGGACTATGTTCATTGCTCAATTTTGTATCCTTGGCACCTGGCAGAATACCTGTACACGGTAGACACTTAAAGATCTGTTGAACTGAACCTAACAAAACCTTGTCTTCTATCATGATACATCCCTTGGTACTATTGTCAAGAGACAGAATATAAGGGTAGAGGGAGCACAAGCTAAACTGAGGCATTAACATTCTTAGTAATCACCTGCCATATTCCCTTTCTTCTGCATTAAAATACTTTCTCACAAGTGTTTTAAAGTCCCTACGCTTCTACTAGGATGTTTACCCTTTACTTAGACTCAAGATTAAATTAGACTATCTTCTATTACAAATTCAGTCATAACAGATTTTAATTATTCATTTCTTAACTTGAGTAATGCTAATTTAAGTCATCTAAAAATGATTTTATTTGATAGAATCTTCCAGCTCTGTGAGTACTAAATGCCTCTCTGTGGGGCATTACCATACAAAATAGTTTATAGTATTCTATGCCTCAGGTAACTCTGTTAGAAATCAAATTATAACACATCTCCACTAGCCACAGCAGCCTTTCTTATAGCCAATCTATTTTAAATAGCTAGACATAATACTAAAATCAAATTTGTTAACTGAAATTGAAACAAAAACAGTAAACTCTCAGAAAAACTAATATATTTTACATTCTTTTAAAGAATGGTCAAAGGAATACAAAGAATTGGAAGAACTTTCCACCATTTAACTAGACAAAATTCTCTTTCTTGGTTACAATTTCCATAAAGTATACCAAAAAAAGCCAAAACATTATGATAAATGTTTTTATTTTTTCTTTCCAGACAGGAATGACCAAAGACTCACAAATACACAAACTTGAGTATGACCCATAAAGGGTATATAGCAGTTTTACTTTTGTTCAGGGTAGGCCACCTACCTTGGGACAATTTTATCTCATATATTTATGTCCTGTTGGATCTAATAATTCCTAGAAACTCTAAAACCCTGTGATATAGTTGTTCTTGCAATTAACCTTGGGCCTTCCCAGGGACATGTCATGAATGTTTTCCATTCAAGGGAGTGACAGACCCAAAAAGAGGTAGGTAGAGATTAATATACTTATCCAAGGCTTTAAAGACAAGAAACAATCGTCACTACTCACTGGTTGTCCCTGAAGTGTGGAAGTGGACTATAGAATCATTCTACCTGCCCCTAAAACTCAGTAACTTTGTCTTATTCACCTTCCCACACTTAGTACAATTCCCTCCTTCCTCACCTCATTTGTCCCTTTCCCATTCTGCACTGAGGTTTTTGTGCACATCTTAACTCTCCTACTAGGCTAAACCTGATATAGGTATGTGGTTATCTATATTACTACCCCAGTATCAGCACAGAACTTGGCAAAATAGTCCGCAAGATGTTACTAAAAACCTACAGTCTCAAAAACAGAACTCTATTATGGTCTAAGTTAGGGATCAGAAGTATGGTATGGTGGGTCAAACAACCTGAAACTGAGCTGTGTGACACTTCCCACTTAACCAATCTCTGTGAGTCTATTTCCGTATCTACATTAGGTTGCTTTAAATAACTATATAAGAGTGCCACTGTTTGTATATTGACACCTAGAACCTTTTACTCATATGCCTGTATTCTACAATTCCTTAATAATAACTAATATTTATATAGTGCTTACTATGCTCCAGGCACTATGCTAAGTAAATACTTTAACAATTATTATCTCATGTGGTCATCACAACAACCCTGGAAGGTAGGTGCTATCCTTATCCCCATTTTACAGATGAGGGAACCGAGACAAAACAGAGGTTAAGTGACTCCCCCGAGGTCACACAGCTAGTAAGTGTCCAAGGCTGGATTTGAACTCAGGTCTTCCTGACTCCAGGCCCAGTGCTTTATGGACTATCCCACCTAGCTGCCCCTGGCAATTGCTCCTACAATTCCTTGCACATAAAATCTAGAGCAACACTTACATCCTCTCAACAAAACTTTCAACTAGTAAAATAAACACAAGATTAATAATCATACTAATTAAACCAATCAACAAATAAACAGCCTTTTTCTACTAGCCCCTTTATTTCCCTGAAACCTCTACAACTACCAAGACTAAAGTAAAACAAAATATCTGGACTTAATCCCCCAAAATTAATATGACTATGTTAGAGGGGAAAAAAAAGTTACTCACTAATTGTTTGACCTTCAGAGTTTGTGGAGTACTGGCTGGTTGTGAAAGGAAGGAGCCAGGCTGTGTAAGTTTGATATGAATAGGGGGCCCGATGACAGGCTTTACAGAGGCAGATGTGGCCACTCCAGAATTCACAACTGGCTTTGAAGGTGGAAGAGAAATGGATGGCCCCACAACTTCTCCAGAAGTCACAATGGGTTTTGTTGGTGGAAGTGACAATGTTACTGCTGCCCTGGGGACGACGGGTTTTTCAGGCTGAAGTGAGACAGTTGCTACTGTGGTAGCACCACAGGTCATGAGAGGCTTTGCGGGTTGAAGGAAGACAGTTCCAGCTGTTACTGCTGCTGGACTGGTGGTTGAACTTACAGAATGGAGCGTGACAGCTTTGTTAGTCACGCCCCCTGGTACAGAAGCCGGATTTACAGGGTGGACAGCAACAGTGCCAATTGTGGATCCTCCAGCTCCAGTAACGGGGCTTCCAGAGCGAAGGGCGACAACTCCAATGCCTCCAGGGCCGGCCATGGAACTCGCGGTCCGAATGGAGACTGTGCCTGCTGTTGGTGCTGCAGAAACAAGGAGGGGCTTTTCCGTGTGGATTGAAGAAATAGTTGTGGTCACGACAGGAGGGGGATGAGTGACAGCGGCACACGTAGGAATGACGACCTGGGGAGGACTTTGCTGAACACATTGCTCAATGAAGCTCTGGGAGTTGGGCATTAGCTGTCGTAAGGCAGTCACACTTTTCTAGAAATGGAAAAATTCAATCCTGATCACTTAGAAGCAAACAATCAAGCAATTTTTTTAAAAAAACTGCAAATAGCATTTATGAACTATTATTTACCACACAAACTCCTGTTTTCCCACATCTCTGAAAACCCTAAATGTCTGTTTGTTTTTTAAAGTAAAACAATAATAATAACTAACATTTATATATCAATTACTTTGTGCCAGGCATTGTGTGAAGCACTTTACAATTATTATTTCTTCTGATCCTCACAATAACCCTAGAAAGTAGGTGCTATTATTATCCCCATTTTACGTGATGAGGAAACTAAGGCAGAGAGAGATGTTAAGTGACTTGCCCATGGATACACAGATGGTAACTGCCTGAAGATCGATTTGAACTCAGGTATTCCTGACTCCAGGCCAAGTGCTCTATCCACTGTGCCACCTAGCTGCCTCATAAAACCTATCACATACTCAACCTCAGCAAACAAATTCTACAGACAAAATTATTTTCTGTCATCAAATTTAGTCCCTTCTTCAACAGTGGCATGTTAATTAAAAACACTGTCAATCCTAGAATGTAAGCCTTTCTAAGAGCTGTGAGGAAATTAGTGCTTTTAAAAAACATAATTAAAAACTGTTTCAACATATGCAAACATTTAATTATACTTTGGACCAAAGTTAAAATTAAAATGTACAACACTCATCTAAATTCCCCAAAACTTTAAGGACCACTGTTATACACAAACCAGATCTATACTGGGGCTTTAAAAAAAAATGACCAGAGTATTCATGAATTTAAAAATTGAATTCTAAGAAGTAAAATGAAAATAGAGAAAGGAATGCAAAGAAAGCCAGATGATCATTACCAAATAGTTTCACCTTCCTTTTGGAAAGTAAAGGCAGAAATTAAGTCTTTTTGGATGTTGCATTAAAATCTAAAAACTGATTATCTGTTATATGGAATGGCTCCCTGGAAAAGGAGGTGGAGGATAGATACTGGGAGAAATTTTGGTGTTATGAAAAAAGATATAAAAAATTTTATTTTTTATAAAAACTAAAAGCTGATGGGTACAAGAAGAAATGATTTTTTTCTTGCCAAAAGAGTAGTTTAAAAATATTTCTAGGCTATACCACTGAAGAATATTTTCATTCTTCCACTGTAGGAATGTTGTACTGCTGACTTCCTTCTTCCCTCTAAAATGAAGATTAAGCAATCATATTTAACTGAGGTAAAGGAAAGTCAAAAAAGACAAAAGTAAGGAAAACGTCCTCAATGCAGCCAAATATGGTTTGCTAGAAAGCTGAGAGATGATGTTGGAAGAGTTACATTCAAAAGATTTATTTTAAAATCAAGTGTTTAGAACTTGAAAAAATTTTTCCCACTTTTTAGAAAACAAAAAACAACATTCTGGATGATGGTTAGATTCTCATGCTAATTCCCCAAAATCACTTTAAGCCATGATGTATCTGAAATATACTCCTACATTAACAGTACTACAGAGGAGCAGCTAGGTGGTGCAGTGATTAGAGCACAGGCTGTGGAGTCAGGAGGACCTGAGTTCAAATCCAGCCTCAAACACTTGCTAAATGTGTGACCCTGGGTAAGTCATTTAACTTCAACTGCCTCAAAAAAAAAAAAAAAAACAGAAGTGCAGAATCAAACTACTATATGCAATCCTAAACTAGGACCTGTAACTAACTAGAGCTAACTAGGGCAACCAAGAGGTTAAGTGACTTGCCCAGAGTCAACCAGTCAGTATGTGTCAGAGGTGGGATTTGAATCCAGATTCTCTCGATTGAGCATATACATACTATATACACACGCTCTATATATACTAATCCACCATGCTACCTCTTAACACATGTTGACATATGATATATGATATACATGTGACATATGTATATATACACGCTCTACATACACTACTACACCATGCTACCTCTCAACACACATTCAGACATCAGACGTAAGATGCCAGGAATATAACCCCCAGTCCCTCTCCATGCCGAGATCAGAGATTCCCTCTTCTCTCCTTTCCCCATCTGCCTAGCTATATATAAGTGAGGACTCCTCTCCAGCTCCAAGGTGATGGTCTTGGCTGCTGTCTCCCTGGCAGAGGTTCCAAAAGAGTGGAGGCAAGAGGGATGAATGAATGAAGACAACAGGAAAATTGGGAACTATAGAAGGCAGGTTGAAGACTCCTGACAATGTGAATCCAAGGGATACTTTCTCGAGCTAGATAACTGATGTCTCCCTCTTCTTTATTATCCCTTTCTTTGTTTTAAGAATTCCAGGAATAGGAGGTGAAACTAAGATGGCAGAGAAAAGGCAGGGACTCGCCTAAGCTCCCAAACCTTTCCAAATACCTTTAAATACTTCTAGGGCAGCAAAACCCACAAAAGGTCAGAGTGAAACAACTTTCCAGCCCAAGTCAACTTAGAAGGTTAGGGGGAAAGGTCTTTTGCACCAGGGTGAGAGAAAGAATTTTAGTCCTGCTAACATAGGGAAACAGGTAGGACTTCAGATCTTTAATCCATAATATACCTAATGATTCACTCCTATCACTCTTTCCCCTTCTTCCTTTTAAACGAGTAAAAACTAAATAAGTCTTTGAATAGAAAGGACTGAAGCCCAACTTATCTACATTTCAGAAGAAAACCACTATCTGGGAGGTATTTCAAAGAAATTAGCAACAAGGGAAATTCAGGAGAACAGTACAGGGTAAACCAAAGTAGACTAGAAAGTGACCTGAAGTACCTAGGCACATCTTCCCACCCTCCCACACAACTGACGATCGTACCATTGAAGAACCTGTCTTAAGTCAGCCCTAAGGATAGATAAGAAGCAAGGTTGGGAGCAAACAAATTAGTGAGACAGGAAAATGACCTCAGTGGTCACTGAGGGCAGAGGCATCTGGGAGAGGATTGTCTCTAAATCTACAAACCATTCTGATAGATGTTCCTATAGAAGTGACACAAATTAGAGTATATTTATACTATATAAGTCCAAAATATTATTTCTCATGAAAAATTTTAAATGCAAAAACTACAGAAAAGGAAAAAGGCCTGACTAAAATAGATTAGATCACTTCTCAAGTGTATAAAGGCAATTTTTCCCCCAATTTAACCAGCTAAAAAGCAAGGAGAACTTCATGCTCTATTTCTTCAAATTCTACTTCATAATGTTCCCCCTAGTATCTTTATTATTGCCTTCTTCAAAATAAAGTAATCATAATCTTATTCAGATTAAAAATAATAATTTTATCATATAGTTGCCCCCTTTTCCAGCCTAGCTTTCTTCTCTCCCCTTTTCCCCAAAAAACTTACCTTTAGAAAAGGGACAAGATGCGGTTGAGGTGAGGACTTGAGTTCAATGTACAGTTTTTTGGTAAATTCCTCTGGTTCAATTTTTGCATCCTGAGAAGAATGAAATGCTTTGTTAGTTAAAAAATAATTTAAGAACTGCCAAAATATATATTTTACATTCATCTAGACACAGATACTTTTCAATTGTAGGAAACTTTCGATAACCTAAAACGAAGTCTCAATTGCAAGTAATAATTGTGGCTAAGCAGATACTGCCATTTTATAGCAATACAAATAATAATTAAGAATCTAATGAGTTAAGTATATAGACTGGTCTAAAACTATAATTATTTCCCTAGCATAAGAATCAATGCCACCAATTCTAAAAACCTGTCATTTAAAAGGAAAAAAAGAAGAGCCCACAAGTCTTAAGGGGGGGGAGAAGAAAAGACTATTAAAAGAAAAAACAAATACAAATACAACTTGTGTTGACCAGACTACATTTTCTGAGATCCTGGAGATCTTTTGAGAATGCTATTTCAGATCAGACTAACAGATATATTTTGACAGGCCCACACTGGATTTAAAAGAATATACAAACTGTAAATCAAGGGGAAAAAATTCTTGAAAATTATATCTGTTTACCAAGCCATATAAATCCTTTGAGTTTAGGCCAAAAAACAAACAAACAAAAAAAAAACCACACACAATTTAAACATTTATTAAGTGCCTATTGTGTACAAGGCACTATGCTAGGCCCTGGGGACACAAGACAAAAACAGCTTGGTCCTTGCATTTAAGTTGACATTCTACTAAGGAAATGTAGACATAAGTAAATACAAGGGATCAAGAAGGAAGAAGACTTAGAACTGGAAAATATTACAAAAGGTATAGGTGCATCTAACATAAGTCACGAATCTAGGAACACTAAGAGGGAAAGAAGTGCATTCAAACATGGAGCACATAAAGACTAACTGTAGAAAGGTACATCTGTCATGTCTAGTTTGGGTAAACTGCTAGTATGTGGGTTTTGTTGACTATAAGAACAACAATAAAAAACACATCTAGAAAGGGAGGTAGAGACTAAATTGTTGTACACTTCAAATGCCACCAATTCTGACTTCCTTTCTATACTCTTCCTTCTTAAGGAAAATCCTCAGCAGGTCCCCACTTAAAAGAAAATCCCACAAACCAGTTAGCACCTATATATATTTCAATAACTCAAAATATTTGAATATTTACCTCCAAAAAGCAAAATCATCCTTCATTTTAAATACATTGTGTTAATAATACCCTAAAGCTAGTTAAAATAGTAACAGTAAAGGGGAAGAGTGGTATTCTGTATCTCAAATGCCCTACTCTCCTACTTCAATGCCTTATTATGACATAGGATCCTGTGTTCTTAAAGGCAGAACACAAGTTCCTCAATTAAGCTGGAAAGACTTGGAAAGAAAAGAAGATCAGAGGGGTAGACTCTATAGCTACCATCTGAGAAACAGCGAGCTGGTCTGAAGTGGCTCATCACCAAAATGTTGGTCACAAGGGGATCAACTTTTTTTGCCACAGGGACCTGTAATGACTATCTACTAACATCTGGAAGGGCTGTCATCTGTAGTGGTGGAAAGAGTATCCAAAGCAATCTAGTGATAAACATAGCAGCAAAGCCTAAGCAGGAGTATCCCAGGAAATTCTCAGTATTAGACCTGGAAGAGAGGCAAAAAAGAGGGAACTAAGGAAAAGAAAAGGCCTCGTTCCTCATACATTTTTCTGCAAATCTAGAATGATCTAGTTAGATCTCTCTGATCTTGTAAATTTTTCTTGTGATTTGTTATTGTAACTATACTGAAAGCTTTGCACCCTCAACTCATTATATATGACGTAACCCAGTGCTGACATACCACAGGTCAAATCAAGTGTTTCCAAACATAAAAATGGCATACAATGACACGATAAAAGCTTGATAGAACAAAAAGAATAGCCAAAGCTACTAAATCACAGACCTTTGAAGGATTAAAACCTAACATACAATATCAACATACATTCATGTGTACTGGAACACACCTTTACAAATAAAAAAGCAACATGACGGAGTAAAGGCCAGTCATGAAAGACCTGTATTCAGCTCTCACCTCTTACATCATTTGAGCAACCATAGGCAAGTTACTTAATCCCTTAATGCTCCCAAATCAATTATCTTAAGACTGTTATGTTACAGATGATCTGCTTCAGGGAAAGGACCTTGCATGCAGGTCTGGTCCCACACCCAAACAATATTGATTCACTTATTAAATACCTAATATTTGCCAAGAAAAGTACTAGGTACTGAATTAGAATAAAAATTTACATAACTAAAATGAAAAGTTTTGAAAGCAAAACACATAGATCTATACTGAAATAAATACTGTTTGTAAGCCAGAGGTGTCAAACTTGCAGAGAGGCTAGCAAAACTCCTGTGGGACCCAAACTAGATTAAAATGTAATTAGGAAATGTGTAACAAAATAAACAAAAATACAATACAACACAGATAATGTTAATTTGCATTTTTGAAGTCAATATGCAGGCCCACAAGGATCCTGCTACTATTTGAGTTTGACACTGTTGTTGTAAGCTATAGGCCTAACTTTTTTGCAGGGTTAGGGGGTGGGGTGGAGAGTGTGTGTGTAAGGCCTATATTTAGACCAATAGAGAAATATTTTCCTCTAGAGTTAAATGACATACAAACTAGTCGTACCTTGAGATTTCTTTTTAAAAGAAGATTATAATGCTTTAAAGACCCAAACTATAATTAAAGTTCAGCTTATCAAGACCGTTTAACAAACAGAAGTCTTTAAATAATGATTATACCGTTTCCCTTTTTCTGTTTGGTAGTTGACATCACTTCTGTCATACTAAATTAAGTTGGCACTACTTGTTTTAGAGTTTGCAGGGTTTTTTTTAGAAATAACTTACCACAGAGAGGATAGAGCATCAGCCCTGGAGTCAGGGGGACCTAAGCTCAAATCAGGCCCCAGACACTTGCTGTGTGACCCTGGGCAAGTCACTTAACCCTGAATGTCTTCCCCCCCCCAAAAAAGAAATAACTTACCAACAGATTTTCCACAAGCTTCTTCACATTCTGCCCCATTTCTGGGGACTGAGAACCACTACATGCTAGTTTTATCAACATTGCAAGAAAGTTTTTGCATTTTGTTACATTCTCTAGCATTTCCTAGTTATGCAAAAAAAAAAAAAGGAAAATACATTGTAATGAGTATCAGGCATTCATCTTTAGATAACAGATGACAGAATTCAAGGAAAACCATTTCAAGAATCACAAAGTAAAGTATTACCACAGAGATACCAGTCTGTACAGCTGCTGGGATCTCAACTTTCTGGGTGCTCTCTTGCAAGGGAGCTGCTGGTGTTCCAATGACCGAAGTCTTCAGAGGAGTTACAGTATTCAACGGTTTTACTGGGGTAATAGTAACAACACTGGCCGGTGCAGCCACAGACTGAAAAGAGAAAAAACTATTACATTTTGGCACTAATAATACTCTCCTATAATGATGGGGAGTGGTATCTCACTCTACCCTTAACTATCACTAGAATGCTATCACCATTACCAAAAGCTACAGGGCATTCTTGATATTGTGTCTGTGTGTGTGTGTCGCGCGCATAGGCGCGCACACACACATACACACACACAGATAGCTTGATATGAAAAAAATACTGCTTTTTTTCCTTAAGTATAAAAGCATACTGAATATGCATTTATTAGCAATTTCTTATATAGATTTCTAAATTAAGTACACAAAGGAATCATTTCAACCATGTCATTCATTTGATTTCATTCTGAAGTATTTTTCCCCCCTTCAACTGAAATGAGACATGATTCTAGCACCATCTGCAGGACAAAGTAAATATATAAAAACACTGATGTTAGGTAGCATGTTTCTTTTTTAAAAGCATATCAGAAAAGGGAAACACAATCATTACATTTATAAGAACAAAAATATCAGATATAAAGGCTTACTATGTGCAGAAACATCCAAGTTGTAGAATATGGAAAAAAAAAAAGAAGGCATGCAATTCTAATGTGATCACTGAAACTACGTTTGTAAAGATGTACCAGGATTTAAAATTTCTTACAATATGCTCCTCAGGGGGATTTCATTCCAAAACAATCAACAAGTTAAAGAAACCTCAACATGGAAAATAAATTTATTCAAATTCCTTGTTATTCATAGCTATCTAAGAAAACTACAGCATACTATATATGCACTAATAAATGTTTGTGAGAAAGGAACCTATTTTTTGAAAGACTATCACATACACATTTAAGTAGAAGTCCCCTAAAATAAGCCCTTGTCTTAATGCGCACTCTCTCTCTCTCCCTCTCTCTCTTTATATGTCAGGGGTTCTTAACACAGGGCCCATTAACTTGTTTTATTTTTAAATATTTTTATTAACTGTATTTCAATAAAATTGGTTTACTTTTTAATCCTGTGTATTTTGTTCCATGAATTTACATTTTTTTTTCCTGAGGAGGGGTCCATAGGTTTCACAAAACTGTCAAAGGAGTCTATGACACAATAAAAGGTTAAGAACCCTAACACAGGAAGATTTGTAATTATCTGGACATCAATTTGAGCTCTCTCACTAATGAGAGAGTAGCTAACAAATAATTTGCTGGTCTGCCTCAATATTGTCATACTTCTACGGGTTTAAAAAAATAAAAAGTTAAGGGGAACAACTATTCTAGACCTTAATCTCACCAATAAGGAGAAACTCGTTGCTTGGGCAGAAATGATTGGAATGTTTTAATAAATGCGACTAAACACTATGTCTTAGTATTATTCAAGATTTTTTTTTTGGTCTAGACTCGTAATTTCAAAACGCTGGGATACTACCTCTATCCGCAACCTATGTGACTCACCTAGAGTCTTTCATATGTATAGTTAGTTAGTTAGCTAATTAATGTAAGAGACCGAACTTGAATTCATGTCCCTCCCATTTCTGAATCCAGCTATCAGCTAAGCCAGGTGTTCATAATGGAGGAAAGCAAACCTGGGCATAGTTGGATAACAAGCTAGCTTTGGAGAGAACATAAGCAAAATGCTACAGAGAGAAAGAACACTGACTCTGTAATCAGAAAACAAGGATTCAAAACCCAAAATGGATGCTTACTACCTGCACCATCGTGGGCAAGTTATTTAAACCTCTCTCTCCTACTCTCTACCTTAGTCTCCTCACCCATAAAAAGATAGATGGCTTTCTATGATCGATGAGCAGAAGGTTTAAAATTCTACAAGGAAAGTGAAGACAGAAAACTCAATAATGAAATTCAAAAGACACAAAAGGAAAAAATTCCAATGAGAAATAAAGTGGAGGAGTGAGATCTAAAAAGATTTATGGAGACATGGAGAACTTATCAGTTAAGTTGGATTTTTTTTTTTAAAGGCAAGTACAGGAAATGGAAAGATGGGTAGGAAATTGGGAATCAATGTGAGAAGATGGCACAACACTATGAGAATGTTAAGGCACAACAATATAAACAGGAAAAAAAAGAAACTGAATATTACATAATTAATTATCATGACTAAGCTTGGATAAGGAAAAGAGAGGGAAAAAAATCTACCTCCTTCCCTTCTCTGCAGAGGTAAAATATTATAAGTATGAAATATTTTCAGACATCCTTGACGTATTGGAAGGTTCTGTTTAACTTAAATTTCTCTGTTTCCTTTTTTTATCCTATTACAAAGGACAGGGGGATGGACTTCATTTATTCACAAAATGAAGGTAAGCTACAAAAGGAAAATAAGATTTTTAAAAGTGTCAGTAGTGAATAAGAGTTTATTAAGTACTTAATTATGTGCCATGCAATGTGCTGAGTTCTGAGGATACAAATACAAAAGCAAAGATAATGTCTACCTTCAAGAAATTTATATTCCAATGAGAGATAGCACACACAGAAGAGACAGTTGGTAGCCAGAGAAAGACACTTCAGTCAGGAGAGTTACAGGGATAGTGAGTGAGGTCATTAAGGAGTAGAGTGACACACTTTATTGGGGAAGAAAATAGGATGAGCAATCATCAATGCAGGGGGAGAAAGAAAGGGAGATTGGGCATCTTGGGGAAGAAGATCAGAGAATAGGGAATGCTGAAGCTCAAAATAAGATCAGGCTGGCAAAGAATATTAAGGAGAATGAAAAAAAAATCTTGTGAGCTATATTGGAAAAAGAAAATGATCAAAAAAGGAATAAAAATGCTACGTAGAGGTGATAGTTCATGGAAGGAAGAAGGCATCACTTGTCAGTTCTTTTTTTACTTCTGGGTTTTGTTTCTTTCTGCCAAGAAGAATAATGTTTGGACTAGAAAGTACAAATCAATAGCTAATAGGAAGCTGAAATTCAAGGTGGATAGGGAAATAATAAGATAGCACCTAGCTACCCTTGAGAAATTCAAGTCTCTTCTCAAACCATGGAGAATAAGAGATAACAGCTGAACTGTTTAATGTCTCGGATCAGTGGTTCTCTAAGTGTGGTTTGGGGACCTTTGAAGATCCTTGAAACCTTTTCAGGGAGTAATGAGGTCAAAACTCTTATCTAATATGGTAAATATCAATAGATATAACCCACATAAACAAAAACTTTTTGGGGGAAACAGAGAGTAGGGGAAGAAGTGTCTTCCTGAACCAAAAATTTTGAGACAGTAGATAACACAACATAGTTCTACTACCCTGAAAGAGTAAGAATCCAAAGGGATCTCCACAGATGATAGCACTAGGCTAGATCTCACAAGACAAAATAAGTCTAAAAAATTTAGTCTTGAACCCAGGTTCCAAATGTTATATGTACATCTATTAAAAGAAATTAGAGATAGTTAATCTCGAGACAGCATCTCCAAGTAAATGAAATGTCACTAGGAAAGGGATTAGACTTCTGGGTGGCTAGTTCGTTTTTGCCTTTGTACCCCCAGTACCTAACTCAGGGCCTTGAATAACAGGCATTTAAAAAATATTTCTCAATATGAACCCAGAAGGTACAAAGAGCAGCAACATAACATATGGAGAGGGAGATTTCAGCTTGGTGTAAGAAAAAACTTTTGAACAAACATCTCTCCTGAAGTGGAAGGGGCCACTTTCTGGAGGTAATGAATTCTTCAAATAAAGGCTGGATGACCAAGGATTCTTTTTCAGATATTTATTAGACAAGACGGCCTCTAAGATTCCTCCCAACTCCAGACTATGAATCTGTGACTGAAATTCACTAAGTCCACTTCATTGTCTAAAAAAATCCTTCTTTCTGTGTAGCAATTATATGTTAAGTCAAAATAACAGAAATCACCTATGACTTTAGCTGATGACCATTTTATGAAAACACTCCCTTTATGTCAGGGTTCTTCCTCTTTCTCATTGCTCAGGACAACCCAATGAAACTTCGACCTAGTAGAGAGGAAACCAGAAGATGAACCTTATGAAACTTATGGCTCTGTAGAACCTATTATTGAGAGACAAGGGAGCCTTAATGGCACTTCTTGTTTCTCTATTAAGGCAACTAGGTGGTACAGTGGAGTGTAAGGCCTGGAGTGAAGACTGTCTGAATTCAAATCCAACCTCACACTTACTAGCTATGTGATCCTGGGAAAGTCACTTAACCTGTGTGCCTCAGTTTCCTCAACAGTAAAATGGGGGCAAACAATAGCACCTTCCCAAGGCTGTTAGGAGGAATCAGTGGTATAGTATGTGTAAAGCGCTCAGCACAGAGGCTGACACATATTAAGCATTTAATAAAAAATGTTTGTTTCCTCCTTTTATTCCTCTATTAGACACTGACTGCTACAACAGCTCAAGGAAGTACAATCTTCATATACCACTTTCTAACCTGACTACACAATTAATTGTGGGTCCCTCAACTCCATCTCCTTCCAGCTAAACTAAATGCTTCCCCACAATTTTATGAGACTTCTAACTGGCCCACAGAAGATCTATCATATCAGCCTTCTCTAGCAATCTCTCTACAGTCCTCCAAGTCTATATAACTTCTCACTTCAAATGCATTCTGCTCAAGCTTCCATCTAGTTACCTACGGAAATTGTGAAAAATGTAAAGGATGCACATATCTTGTATATGTGGATGATGAAGGGGCTAGAATTTGAGGTCTGAAGACAGTAATATGAACTGAATGCATACAAATTTAGCAGGTAAAACTAAATTTGAATATGAGGCTATTTTCTGCATCTGAAAAACACATATAGACCCAAAAGTGACCATCCTACAATTAGAAGTGTTTATTTTTCTTCTTTTTCCCCCCTTACATATTAACTACTAATTGAACCAGTGGGCGAACGTACGCCGTCTGAATATACCCATCACCAAGGAATCCATCACTAAAAAAGAACTAGACATACAACAAATTATTTGGGTATTATCCCACATTATTTTATTATCCAAGGTATTTTTCCTCCCAGCTCAAATGTCATCAACTTCTATAGCAGTACAAGCAAATACTCCTTGAATTCCTTTAGAGATAGGGAAATAACATTTTAAACCTCATTATAAAATGGTTTTTGCCTTTAAATTTACATACAAATCCTTAATGGTTTCCATAACCACTTCTAATTTTCCATCAAGAAATTTTTAAAAACCTAAAGTAGTGCTGATTTTCTCCACAAGATGGACATATATACTTTTTCTTAATTTCATTTCCTGAACTAAACACTATAGGTGTCATGATGTATTGTCCTATTTTGGTCTCTGAAGCAGTTCGTGTTAAAAGAGGTATAAATTGCACTCTGAAGGGTCATGTCCTATCACCAGCCATGGCCCTAATTCTATTTTCACTTGTTGTAGTAAATAGAGACCTAGACATAACATTTAGTTTTCTTCTCTCTCTCTCCTATACAAAGCACTGATAGTTATTAAAATAGGCACAGAATCTTCTCAGTTTCCAAGATCTGACACTGCTCCCCTTGTTGTATCACTACTGTCAATTCTACCATGCTAATCCCTAGATACCAGTAGGTGATATATTCCTAAATTAACCACCAAACAGCTATGCTTGAAATCAACTAGTACAAAAGTTTTCAAATTTAAGCCAGCTAATTCTGCTAAAGTATTTCTATTCCTTTCGAGACATTTACAAAGTTATCCTGCAAACTCTATCCTTGGACTTTACCAACTGCTTTCAAGTTCAGGTAGTTTGCTTGGTTCTGAATTACTTATGCACTCAAGTTCTAATCTACCACTCTTTACAATTTTACTAAAATGTTCAGTTTGATACTTGTGAGAAGGAAGTTGAAGTTCACAACCATTTGTGCTAAGAGTTTTCCCCACATATTTCACACTAATAGTATTATCTGTGGCAATCATTTTCCCCAAAAACCAGTTAGCCCTCTGAAATCAATATAAAAATCTGCCACCAAACTATCGTGAAATGAATTGGTTTCCAAAGAAAAGAATCACAAAAAACAGTTAACTCTTAGGGACCTATTTTCACATAATGAACCTTTCCTAAATAGTTAGGCATTTATTTTGCTTTAACCTTAACAAGTGACAGATTATACACCAGACTAATTTCTGCCAGGCCCCAAAGTTATTCCAATTCTATTAAACAGGGCACTACAGAAAGAATGGTGGATTCAGAAGTCCTAGGTTCATGTCCTGTCCTTTATACTTATATTAGCTGAGTGACTTTGGGCAAATCACAACATTTCATACCCTCATTTTCCTCATCTTTAAAATGAGACCCATACTCCTTATACAAGCTACTTCACATGACTGTCATTAAAAAAGCATTTTGTAAAACTTAATGTGTGTGTTATTACTACTTCAGGTATTCTGGGAAGTCCTTCATATATAATAATTAAGTGAACTGCCCCAAAGATCTAGTTTATATAAAATGAGAGCAGTCACTCACCTATTGTATCTTTGCCAAATAGGTGAAGAATACAACATGGACAGAGAGAGTCAAGAGACAGTCAGAACCTACCTGTACTATGGAAGGTTTCTGGAAGGAAGTTACCACAGTACTTCCTAACTGTGCCACAGTTTTTGCAGGGGCAGCAACTGCTTTGATGGGTGTCACTGCCTTTATCGGAGCTGCTGCCCTGACTGGAGCTACTGTCTTCACTGGAGCCACTGGCACTTTCTTAATAAACTGTGTACCAGAGTTCTGAAAATAAAAATATAAAGAGATATAGGATTATTAGGATTTGGAAGAGTTCAGTAAGAGAACAAGCATTTAAGGATTTGTAAAAATCTGTGATCTTTAAAACCCATGGGTGCCCCCCCCATCTCCTCCCTCTTCCCTCCCCCCCACCCCCAAAGTAGCTAGTCCTGCACCAGGCCATCTCTGTTATAGCCAGATTCCTTCCTCCCTTTCAGAGGCACATTTGTCCTGCCTCTCCTCCTCTGGAACCCTTAATTTATCCGAACTTTTCCTTGCTGAAAGTTTCTGTCTTTCTAGGAAATTGATACCTACCTGTCTGTAACACTCAAAAATGTATGAATGAGACCCTTCCCTTCCCAATAAGACAAGTGGCCCTCTTACATACTAAGAGGTAATCCTGCTATGTGCAACCAATCTAGTCATGCTCACACCAAACTGGGGAAGAGTGACGAAAGCCTGGCATAACCAGAGTATCAGGTCTAGACAAATATTCTTCTGCGATCATTAGTTTCCTTCTTCCTGACATGACATCAAGATCATCTCACCAAAGCCTGGGCTTCATCAGGGACAAGTTTCAGATGTATTCTTGCCTCTCCAGTAACTGTGATTCTTTGACCTCTTGACATTTCTTCTATTTCCCCCTCTTCCCCCCATTTTTAATCTCTGCCCCTCTAAATATGTCAGCTTAAGCACTTGCTCTTAACTGAGGCCAAAAACACCTGTAATAAGACAACATACATTTTTAGCATTATTGACTGGTTTGAACCTTCCAAGGAAATTTCTAAGTCCCCAAAAAGTCAGGGCAACAGAATAGAAACTAAGTTCACCAGCAGAAATTGTTTCATATATGGTTTTAAAATTACATTCAAAGAACATAAGCTGAGTGCTCTAACTCAAAGCAATCTTAAATTGTGGAAGTCATCAAAAAAAGTCAAACACAGAAGCCTTCTCTATTTCTCATCTCTATTTGGGCCAATGTAAAATTTCTAATAAAAATATTAACAAGCTAAGGTGGAGACTATAGGATTACAGATTTTTTGAGCTGGAAGGGACCTTAGAAGCCATCTAATTCAACCTCCTCATTTACAGATGAAGAAACTAGGGCCTAGAGATAAAGTGACTTATCCAAGACCACATAGTTACTAAGTAACCAAGGCTGAATTTGAACCCAGGTCCTCTGATTCCAAAGCCAGTGCTCTTTCTACAACATCACATAGTGGGTTTCTCTTCACTTCAAACTGTATAACTTGTGCAAGCTCGATTTAATTCAATATTTATTAAGTACCTACTACATACCAGGCACCATGCTGAGCACTAGGAATATAAAAGCAAAAATGAAACACTTCCTGCCTTCAAGAAGCTTACCTTCTACTGGGGGAAACAACATTTACACTTTGCAGAGGAGGTTCTCCTTCAGGTATGGATTGGGTCAGATGGCCTCGGAGGTTCCCTTCCAACTCTGAGCGTCTGTGATTCAAATTATATGTGATAACACTCAGCTACTCTTATCTTGGTCTCTCAGGCATGTATGTATTATTTAATTATTTGTGTCACCTACTTACATGTGAGCTCCCCTATTACTTACACAACTTTATACTACCCTCCATAGGTTTTGTGAATGGAATCTCTACTTCGACTGAACTGAACTCAATCTCTACGAACACTTCAAACTCAACATGCTCATAACTGCCCACCCCCACACCCACCACCAAAAAAACAAACAAAACCCAAAAACCTGCCCTTTTTCCTAATTGCTCTATTGATGGAGGTGGTACAACCATTCAATCTCAAGTCAAGCCCTGTTTTTCAAAGGAGCTATCTGACAGGCTCGAGGGCTGAAAATAATCTTAAGTGTTATATGTCAGAGGCCAGATTTGAACTCAGGTCCTCCTGACTCCTGGGCCGTTGCTCTATCCACTGCACCACCTAACTGCCTCTGAAAATAATTTTAAAGATCATCTAGATCAGTGATTTTCAAACTTCTTCCATTCCACTCCCCCCACCCTTGGCTTTCAGTAAACTTTTCTGTACCCCCAATTCAATATGAAAGGAAAAATTCAGTTTACCATGCATATGCACATGGGAAATGAGATTAATTTCAAAAGAATAATACTATTATAAATCAAATATTCCCATAATTCCTTGACAAGCTTCTCATACCTCTTGAGGACGTGTGTACCCCAGGGTGGAACCCTTGATCTATATCAGCTCCTTCATTTTAAAGAAGAAAAAACTTAGTCCCAGAAAGGGGCTGTAGTCATAATAGCATAAAGAGCACGGCCAGGCAGGAATCAAAGCTTTGCAATCTTGCCAGTCTTACCATTGTTATCCTGGTTCATGTCCTCATTGGTGCTCAGCTTAACTATAAGAGTGGCCTCCTTAGCTGGATTCCCTTCCACCCATCTCTCCCTTTCCCCCTTTCACACAGTTCCCAAAGTGATCTTCTAAATACACAGAGGATCATTCTCCTATTCAAAAGCCATAAGTGGCCTTCAGTTTTGTTTTCAAAATAAAGTGTAACTCTTTAGACTAGCAATGAGGATCCTTCCCAAATTGTGTGCAATCGATCTACTCATCTCTATTTCATACTACTTCTAGTCCTATACTGTACTGTACCATACAAACTCCCCTTCTAGCAAATCCTTCATCTTAATAAGTCTGTTTCTTTGCACTTTTCCCCAATCTCATTTCGACCCTTCACATCTCGGCCTGTTGGAACCATTGTTTTCCTTCAAAGTTCTAGTCAGGTATCACCTCCTCCATCCCTAATAGCTACCCCAATTTGTACCATCTTACACCAAAAGGGTTAAGTGATTTTTTAAAATATTTAAATATTTTAAACATTTAAATAGATTTAAATATTTATATTAGTATTTTTATATTTATATTTAAATATTTTAAAAAGTGATTCTCAAAAGACATAAGCAAACAGAACAGTTTTTTTAAAGGTTTCTATCAAAAATATTTTAAATGCTTTTGCATTTGCACAGTGTCAAAAGATGTCTAAAAAATTCACCATTTATGTGAATATTCCCTCTCTCTCTCTCTCTCTCTCTCACACCCCAAAAAACATTCATCTAGCACTAAGGATATTAAAAAAAAAAATCAACATTTCCTTTTTAAAAATTTGTATTTTTGAATAACACAGATTTATAAATATAGAATGTGTGTATATGTATTAATGCAATAAATGTATAACATGTTATATATCCATACATGCTACATGAACATGATAATATGAACTTCTTCCATGACCAAAATCAAAGTAGAAGTAAGGTTGTTTTTTTTTTTAAATTAGAAATATAAGCTTGCCATAAAGAATTACTTTAAAATCCTTGACTTTAAAAAAATTTAACTTTTGGTTATTTAAGCAATTACTAACCTACCAAAAAACAAAGCTTGGTTAAGTGGGCATCTCTAAGGTCATACATGGCTCATTATACAATGACTTCAGAAAAGCTCGTTCAAATCAAGTATCTATAAAAGGCAGTCTAGTCTCACTGTAATGAACTATTAAGTATAATCTCAATTCTCAGAGAACCAATAATAAAGCATATCCCTTTGCTTCCTCTCTCAATGGTAAGGGGAGACAAAAGGAATAAGGGGTGGTACCCTATAGAGGTAGGATGTGTATACGTATGTATGTTGTCAGACAAGGTCATAGTATTGATCAGTTTTGCTTACCTGCACAGTACAGATTTTGACTGCATGAGTACTTGAGGGTACTGTTGCTCTTACATTCACAGGACTTGGAGTTTCAGCTTGAGCTAAAGCTTGTTGGGACATCAACATCAGCTGACCACTGTTACTTCTTATTAGAACAGTTCCTGTAGATGAGAGAAGGTTGCAAGTTCTGACATCAATATATCTCCAAAGCAGTACTTCTATCACCTCTTTTTCCCCTACTTCTTCTTTACTCACCACAAAATGCTCTACGTGGGTTTACCTACTCATAACTCAAGTATGCTTTCTCCTTTAAAATTAGGTAACATGTTAACTCATTAACAAATTAGTCAAAGAATTATTATAATACTAAAACTATTTTTTTTGTTACAGAGAAAGGCACAAGGGGGAGGTATAGGAATAATATAAGGAAATTACTATAATATATAGCATAAATAAAATTAGATGACCTGCAAGAAAAATCTAGGCATCTCCATTCTACTCTCTTTTCTGCTTAAGCTAATTTTTTCTGTAACATTAAAAACAAACTTTTTTATTAAGTGGCTACTCTGCACACAAGCACTGTGTTTAAGAGCTAAGCTTTCATTATAATTTCGGTGTTCCCATATGTTAGTTACCCAAGATTCATGAAGATGATCTATTTATGCAAAAAAATCTTTAGACAATGCTCCTGCAGCTTCTTCACTTCTCAGATATTTCAATGCTTTTTAAAAAACGTCTTCACCAAAAAAAAATATATTAATAATGTACACATTTTGTTGGCCCTTGCAAGATTTGATCTCTCTGCTAGGGATTTTCCAAAGCAATAAAACAGGGTTTTAAATAAGAACATTAGAAAAATGCAAGACCTTAGAACATAAACATCTTCAGTAAATTACTTGGTTTGAAGAATACCAACAATAATTGCTCATTGTCACAATTATGTCCAATTCTACAATCAGAGTAAAGCCAACAGCACCTTCAAAAGCGTCCTCCATCACAATTTAAGACTCGAATGTTATCTCTGGCCTGAAGGAGAATGAAAATCTATTCTGAAGTTGAAAGTTTATTCAGGGTACAGCAAAAAGTGAGCTGAATTTGAAGCCACAGAACCTATATTCAATTGTCACCTCTGACACTTACCAACTATATATGACCTTAGGCGAGTCACTTATTTCTGGGCCTCGAAATTTCCTTCCAGCTCCAAGTCTATAATCCTATGACATAAAAGGTTCTAAAGGAACACAACTCTCCCATAAACGTAATTATGGCAAAGCACCAAAAGTACACCAGAAAGAATAATAAAGAAAACCAAGGAGAAATAATCATAAACTCCTCTATCCAGTCCAGGAATGCACAGGACTGAAAAAATCCTGCCAACATTTCTGAGCAAACACAAAGTACAGGAGAAAGCCAGTTCAGGAAGGGAGGTCCTGAAGCCAGCAGGATCTCAGCCCTGGTCTGCTGAAGCAATAGGAGACAGAGGCAGCCCCCACAGCTCACTACCATATAGAGAGGGCCAGACAGTATGAGCTGACCTGGGGCCAAGAAATTAGAAGTCAGCACCAGCAGCCCATGAAGCTTTGCAGGACACGGGGCCACCACAGCACTCAAGTTCCCACCAAGAGGCCTGAAGTCAATGCCCAGAGCCCTAGAACCCAGGCAGAGGAGAGGACAAAGTCAATGCAACAAATGAGCAACAAAAAACCCAGAATCAGCAGAAGAGGAGGCCTGAAACTAACACTCTTATCGGACAGAATTAAAAAAAAAAAGAAGAAAAACACCGCAACTCCAGCAGAAGGCCTGACAAGAGTCCTGGACCAAAACAATTTGTAGTCTGTCCGGGTCACAGCAGGGGAAAGAATCAACTCTGTGTCTTACAAGGAGGAAGTCACAGAGAAAGGCCAAAGCCAAACACATGTTGGGCCACCAGGAGACAGGTGAATGAGTCAGGGATTCTGACAGAGGGCGGCTTCTAACTCCCTTTGGAGAACTAAAGCAGCACCATCCAGACTCCAGAATGAAGAGGATCAAAGGGGGGAGAGGAAGGAGACAGTGACTGAGAAAAGAGGAGAGAGAGGAAGGAGGGAGACAGGCAGAAGGGACAGTTAATATCCAAACATGGAGGAGGCAGGGAGAGGGCATCCAATATTCCCCAGTCTTATCTGAATCAGACAAAAGAGGGCTCAAGTTCCAAACACAAAGTATTTGGTATAAAAATGTTAAATTTAAGAGAAAATAGGTAAGGCTAAGCAATGAGAAAAGGAGGGTTTAAAAAGGAGACTCGTCCAAGGCGGGTAGAGTCACAAGCAAAATAAATTTCTACTTCAAAAAGTGGATCAAAGGGGAAATTTAAAGGAGAAGAAAAGTGTACAAACCAGTGATCAGGTTCAATCAATAAACATTAAATGCTTACTATGTGCCAGGCACTATGCACTAAGCACTGGGGATACAAAAAGAGGTAAAAGACAGTCCCTGGCCCTCAAGAAGCTTACAATCTAATGGAAGAGACAAACAAATGTACAAATAAGCCATATGCAGAATAAACAGGACATAATTAACAGAGGAAAGGCACTAGAAAGAAAAAGGGTTAGAAAAGGCTTCCCTATAGAAGTTCGGATTTTAGTAGGGACTTAAAGGAAACCAGGGAAGCTAGTTGGCAGAGATGAGGAGGGAGAGCATTCCAAACAATAGGGAACAGGCATAGAAATGCCCAGAGCCAAGCAAGAGATAAGAGTATCCTGTGCATAGAACATGCAGGAGGCCAGTGTCACTATATCAAGGAGTATGTGCTTGGGAGGACAGCGTAAGAAGACTGGAAAGGTAGGAAACAGATGCTGTACTGTAGCATTAAATTAAATCTTTACTATGGGCAGTATGGTACTGTGTAAAGCAGTAGTTCACAAACTTAAACGACCTGGTCACACTCTTAAAATTACTGAGGATCTCCCCCAAAGAGCTTTTGTTCATGAGGATTATCTATGTTTATATTTCCAGTACTAGGTAGAAATTTAAACTTTTTTGTATTATTATGAAAATAGTTTTGACTTTGAAGACCCCAGACCACATTTTGAGAACCAATGGTATAAAGAATGGTAAACAATTAAACACCTATTAAGATCCTACTATGTGCTGGGCACTGTGCTGGGCATTGCAGATACAAGGAACAACAAAAGATGGCCCCACCCTCAAAGAGCTTACAATCTAATGAGACAACAAGCAAACAAATGTGTACAAACAAACTATGTATAGGATAAATAGGAAATAATCAACAGAGAGATTGTTAAAAGTTTCCTGTAGAAGCCTTCCCAACTAAAATGGGGATTTGAAGACAGTCAGAGAAGCCAGGAGACAGAGATGATGAGGGAAAACATCCAAGGCATGGGGATAATGGGTCTTGTTAAGTCTGGAGACTGGATTTGAATCTCAGCTCCTCCTCTTACCGGCTATGTGATCATGGACAAATTGCCCAAACTGTCTAACCCTCAGCTTCTAATAAGAATAATGGAAGATTACTACTTTGCATTACTATAAGGATGTTGTTGAGAATCTTTAAAGTATCATATAAATATTATTCTTCATTCACTATTGTTTTAATATTCCCTTTTAAAGAAGATATAATTCCCAAAGATCCTAAATAAACTACATGATGATGAGAACATCTTGCTTGGTGACACTGGGAAACAATGGTATTAGTCAATATATTTTACTAGCTTTTTTTTTTTTTTTGGTTAGGCAATGGGGTTAAGTGACTTGCCCAGTCAGTAAGTGTTATGTGTCTGAGGCCACATGTGAATTCAGGTCCTCCTGAATCCAGTGCTCTATCCACTGTGCCACCTAGCTGCCCCTTTTATTAGCTTTTTTAAGGGAAGGATGAAGAAAGAAAGAGGTTAAACTTAACAAAAGAATGACTAAAGTTCAATTTCAGACTGAAAAAAGAGATAAGGGGATCTCTTATCATCAAGATGTACTTCACTTCAGCAGAATCAGGAACACAATATAAGCAATATCTATACAATGTAAATAGAAATAATAACAATGGAAAGTGGACAATATAAAATTATAATTTTATAAAATTACATTTTGGCTGGCCCCAAAGAAGTAGAGAAAAGTATATCTCCTTCTACAGCCTTGTCTATACCATCAGACTCAGGTAATATGTATATTAGTTTTGCTTAATCCCCCTCCCCCTTTTACATTATGTGGGTTTTCTGAGAGGAAGAAGGGAAGGGATAAACTGGAAAATGTTAATGATGTAAAAGCACCATAAAGGAATTAATTATTCACAGGACATTTGATTAGAGCTATAGAATTTCAGATTTGTGACATATTGCTATAAAGACAGAACATTTTCCATCAAACTCTCAACTTGGCTTGATTTACATGCCACTCCTCCAACTGGGATCTCCAGGTATTCAACATATGATAAGCAGCCACAGGTATACTAAGCAATGACATTCCCTCCTGGTCTCCTGGAGGTGTGTCCCTGATAACTTATCAAATTCCCACAGCAGCTAATTGCAAAGAACCAGTTTCATTAAGTCACTATTTTAGGATCTTTACATCCTATTCAACTCAGTTTTTAGTTGATTAGGTAGAAAAATATGTTGGATAAGATAATAGAAGAACCCTATTACTATACTAAGCTTAGATGGGAATTCCTCCAAATCACAAGTTCTTTTAAAAAAAAAAATTTTTTTTTTTTTTTGTTTTAACAGTGGCCAAACCAAGCCAACAATTTGGGCAAAAAACCTCAAAGGACACCTTGCAGTAAAATCTTCTAAAATGATCTCTTTTACTGCCTACTACCATTGGTACCAATAACATTTATTTTAATCTATTTTCAGATTAACTTTACTCTAAATCCAACAAGATTATAAACAACTCTCCTATTAAAAAGGATTATTGCTATTAGTAAGTGTTAGGTACAAACTACAGCTAAGTAGCACAGTGAATAGAGCACTGGGCTTGGAATCAGAAGATTCATCTTGATGAGTTCAAATCTAACCTCAGACACTTACTAGCTATGTGACCCTGGGCAAGTCACTTAACCCTGTTTGCCTCAGTTTCCTCACCTGTAAAATGAGCTTGAGAAGGAAGTGACAAACCACTCTAGTATCTAGGCCAAGAAAACCCCAAATGGTGTCACAGATAGTCAGACATG